CCAATTTGATAGCGGGAACCACAAATAAAAAATCTAAATACATGGTTAGATTCAGCATATCAAAGAACCCCATATATTCAATTTTTGTTGAAATCAAACAAAGTTTAATTTTGGACCCCAATTTGGACCAACTTGAAAACTGGGCCAAAAATCAAAAATCTAAATACATGTTAAGATTCAGCATATCAAAGAACCCCATATATTCAATTTTTGTTAAAATCAAACAAAGTTTAATTTTGGACCCTTTGGACCTTAATGTAGACCAATTTGAAAACGGGACCCAAAATAAAAAATCTAAATACACAGTTAGATTCGGCATAACAAATAAATAAATGTGGTCAAAGATTTTACAAATCTAATGCGCTATACTGTGCAATTAAAGATTACTTCTTGAAATTTTTCAATATTTGAAATTTGAAAAAAAAATTATATTTGAAGAATAATTCTTTTTAATTTCTGAAATCTGAAATGAGAAAAAATTGACCCCCAACAATTTCTTTTTACCCCCCCCCCCCCCCTTTTTTCTCCCAAAAAATTCTTTCCCTCAAGATATGGCCATAATCTCAATTCAAATTTCCAATGGAGTTTGCAACCATAATTACCCATTTAAATTTACCATAGTGCTATTATAATCTATTTTTAAAATATAGTGTCAAATCTTTCATATGGATTTTTTTGTAAAAAAAAAAGATGCAACATTTGCAGATATTTTTACTGGTCTTCCTTTATAAATATGCATTTCTTTAAACATAATTTAAAAGCAGTGTAAGGGAAGTAACCAACACGTTGTATTTGGATTACCTCCCTTACACTGTTTTAAATGATCTTAATTGTTCATTAACCATTACTTTATACATAATTTAAAAGCAGTGTAAGGGAGATAATTTCAATGATGTATTTGATTTATCTCCATTACACTGCTTTAAATTATGTTTTGTACTAAAGTATTTGTCCATTAACCAGGACAACCTTGTTTTTCCCCCTTTTTTGCCCCTAATTCCTAAACGGTTTGAGCCATAACCCCCCAAAGCAAATCCTAACCATCCCTTTGTGGTATGGAAACTTGTAGTATAATTTCAGAGAGATCCATACACCGTTCCACAGTTATTGTCTGGAAACTAGAAAATGCTTATTTTTGGCCCCTAATTCCTTAACTGTTGGTACCATAACCCCCAAAATCAATCCCCACCTTCCTTTTGTGGTATTGAACCTTACGGTAAAATTTCAAAGAGATCCATTCACTTAAACTAAAGTTAGAGTGCGAAAACCAAATTAATGTGTCTTCGGACGACGACGCCGGACGACGACGACGACGACGACGACGACGCTAACGTCATACCAATATACGACCACAAAAATTTTTTGCGGTCGTATAAAAACTACTATACCAATTGAATAAAAAATATTGCATTTGAATGACAAAGTATACCATTTGAATAAAAAGTATTGCATTTGAATGACAAATTATACCATTTAAAGAAAAAATATTGCATTTAAATGAAAAAGTATACCATTCAAATAAAATAATATTGCATTTAAATGAAGAAATATACCAATTGAATAAAAAATATTGCAATTGAATGACAAATTATACCAATTGAATAAAAAATATTGCATTTGAATGACAAATTATACCAATTGAATAAAAAATATTGCATTTAAATGAAAAAATATACCATTCAAATAAAAAAATATTGCATTTAAATGAAGAAATATACCAATTAAATAAAACATATTGCATTTAAATGAAGAAATATACCAATTAAATAAAACATATTGCATTTAAATGAAGAAATATACCAATTAAATAAAAAATATTGCATTTAAATGAAAAATATCAAATTTTTGCAACCAATACCATGGCATAGACTTTGGATTATGTACATTACATGTGTTAAGGCTTTTGTTAAACAACCTTTTTGTACGACTCGTGTGTGAAATTGTTTACCACACCTGTCACCCATGACTTGATAATTGACCGAACCAGTGAAAATAGGTTGTGGTCAAGGGAGCGATACAAGGTACCTTTTGATTGGTGAAAACAGGAGAAAGTTGAGAAATCAGTGATCATGTGACCGCGCTCGCATGGAAACAATTTAGGTTTTCAACGGTCACTTTGATTACTGATTTCCAAGAATAAACATCTTTATTTACTAGAACTTTCTCTCTGTTTTACACCAGGCGCTAAAAGTCACCAGACGCAGCAGAAAAGTCAGTACGACAAAAATATTAGGGAAATAATTGAAAACATCTGTTCTACTTTATTGTTTTTTGTAACTGTTTTGTATTATTTTTGTTCTTATTTATTTTATTAAAAGTTTGAATTTTGAAATTATAGGTATCAGTCGATCCCGGCCTGCCTCTACATCGGCAACAACGCCCGGCTTGCCCTTTTTTTTTCTAAAATTCATTATTTTTTATGAGTGACCGCTGCGCATAATACAGAGAAGGAATTGATAGTAAATTGATATCTTTATTCTCATAAAGCCAACGCATGACATCAGTACAGAGATAATAACAACAACTATTTACAATATATAGAATAGAATAGAATATAAAATTGAGAATGGAAATGGGGAATGTGTCAAAGAGACAACAACCCGACCATAGAACAGACTATTTTTATTTCCCAAATTACAGGGCCCATAAAGGGCATAAAATCAGATACAATTGATTTACATAATTAGTCAAACAACAATAATAGTCACTTGAAAATATATATTTAGTATATTAGCATTGGTCAGAATCAGAGCCAAAAACCACATATATATTGTGAATAAAAGAATAAAATTACATTATATGCATTCATTCTCAAATCATTTACTTGACTTAGTGTCAATATGCATACCTGATCTCCTTAATTCAAAACAGTCACAAATATAACAGCCCAGTTTTTCCATAAGAGTTACATTTTCTTGAGTCAAGAGCCATACAAATTTAGAAGATTTATTTAAATTTTTTAAATTATAACAATTGTCAGATATGTATTGAAAAAAGTCTTCCCTTTGAGTATCATAAAGAGGACATTCTAACAAAAAATGAAGCTCATCTTCAACTTTACCAAGTGAGCAATTTGAACAAAGACGCTCAGATCTTTCTATATATTTTTTTGAATATCTGTCTGTCTCAATTTTTAAAGAGTGAGCACTTATTCTTAATTTACAAATTGACTGTCTTTTTTTAAAATCCTGTAGTTCTAAATATTTTTCTTTTTCAAAACAATTTTTTATAGAAAAATAAGTACCAAGCTTCCCTTTTTCAGAGTTAATTGTTTGATACTTCAGTCTATTCCAAAATGTTAAATAACTTTCACATAGTTTATTTTTAACATACTGACATAAAGAACCAATTGATTGGTCAAAATTTGGTAAATCAATCTCTCTCTGAATATAATCTATACTAGAGTACCATGTATTTACATTAGAAATATGTAATTGTTTACAACATATGAATGCATCAAATAATAATCCTTCTTTCAAACCTTCCAGTCTATGACAATATTTCAACATTGATAAAATTATAGTAAAATAAATAGGAAATCTACCAAGCTCTGACATCACAGCTATGTTACTGGACTTTCTGTTTACACCAAGAATATATTCCATAAATTTGTTATGAGCTTTTTCAGAGGAATCCTGACCAAAAACTTTTTCCAATATATAATCATTATCTTTTTTACATGCAGCTGAATCAGTACGAAACATTCCCCATATTTCACTGCCATATAATTGTATGGGTTTAATTGTATGATCATAAAGATGTAAAAAAGTGGCAATACTAGGGTTAGATGATGACAAGCATCTCTGGAGCTTAAAACATGCTTTTAAAGATTTGTTGTATAATTCATCTTTACACTGCTTGAATATACCACTAGATGTAAATGTGATTCCAAGATATCTATATAATTTTGCACATTCAATCTCTTTACCTCCAAAATGTAAACAGCATTTTAAGAATTTTCCTGGCTTGTTAAAAATTATACTTTTTGTCTTTTTTAGATCGACATCAAAACACCATTCTAAACAATATTCATGTAACATATTAATTCTCTTTTGCAAACCTTCCTGTGTTTCTGAAAAAAATACGACATCATCAGCATACATAAGACAATCTACTCTACGGTTATTAATAGTTACTGGATCAGGACATGCCAAAAACTTGTCAGGTAGATCATAAATAAATATTTTGAAAATATTTGGGCTTAAAACATCACCTTGTCTAACTCCTATAAATGATTTAAAACATGGGGTCATTTCATTATCAATTTTAACACATAGGTCACTTTTATTATACATATCTTTAATGATAGAATAAAACTTTCCAGTAATATTTTTAATATCTTTTACCAAAAAATGATCTAGTCTGTTATTCAAAACAGAGTTAAATAATTTACCAACACAAGAATTAATGGCAATGCCACAATAATTATCTGTTTTACTTGAATCACCAGACTTAAAAACAGCAGATAAATAAACTGATGACCACTGCATTTGATATATACCAGATGAAAATACATGGTTAAAAAGTTTCTGAATTAAAGGTTTTAGAACTAAACTTCCTGCCTTTAGCATCTCATTAGGTATACCATCCAGACCTGATGCTTTACCACTTTTGAGTTTAGATATTGATTCAAATATTTCTTTAGTAGAGAATCTATAATCTAATTCACAGAAAGTTTTATTTTTTTCCATATTTTCTATTTTAGAATTAATTTCTTTAATTCTTGTCTCACTGATTGAAGGAGATTTATTCAAATCTGAAAAATGATTAAACCAGGCTTCTGGTTCTACCAACTTTTCTTTACTATCATCTGTAGACTCCTTTAAAGAATTAAAAAGTTTCCAGTATTGTTTTGGATCAGAATCTCTTAGATTATCAAGACTATTCAGGATGGACTGTTTAAATGTGCGCATTTTATATTTACACAAAAAAGCAAGGAGAGAGGTTACAGAAGTCACTAGCCAGGAGTACAAACAAAGGTATTAATATTTTTTTATAAATAAATAAAGTTTCTTCAGGACTGGTTTTCGTGTATTCGACATGAGTTCAGAGAATTTTACTGTGTTGTGTCGTTGTACAAAATAGGAGGATAAATACTCTGTACGTTTTGGATAGAAAAATGTACATTCAAATATAAAGTGATATTCGTCACCAATTTTCCGATTGTTACATTGATGGCAAACACGGTTTTCTCTGAATACATTTTGCCACCTTCCTGTTTCAATCGGCAATTTGTTATTAGTCGTTCGAAATCGACAAAGAACAACGGCATCTTTGAAGTCCAAAATATTAAAATATTCCTCAAATTCCCAATTTTTCTTAAAAATTTTGTAGTTAATAGCTATATACCAATCTCCCGCTGTAAGTGCGTTAGCAAATACAGGGGGTACTTTAGCGTCCAACTTCTGCTATATTTGTTTTACTTATAAGATCAAAATCTAAAAATTGTTAAAACCTACTGATAATGGAGATTAAAGAGCTAGTAGATATAGGAAGATGTGGTATGAGTGCCAATGAGACAACTCTCCATCCAAGTCACAATATATAAAAGTAGTCTATAAAGATGTTGTGTCACACATATTCCGAACGAAAAATGAACATTCCCAAACTTCTGCCCCTACCAAACGTTACCTTTGGATTTTCACTGTGCTCGTTGATTTTTTATTTTTTTGTTTGTCTGATGCGTAAAAACTTTACCAGTATTTTAATTGCAAAAATCATAAACTCAAGTATCAAGAAAAATATTATCCGTGGAAATAAAACCAAAATGCTGACATAAAAAGCATCTCTGTTTTATTTATCACCAAATTTTTTCACCTTTAATTGCCATCATAGCCAGGAAACTAAATATAAAAAGAAAGCTCGCCCATAAGATGATACAATACTTTAATTTCGTCACATAGTTATTTTCTCTAAATACTGACTGGAAATCGTCACGAATAAAAGTCCCTATGGCAATGGAAATGTTTGAAGTCGGAATCAAAGGCTTTGTGTATTTCCAAATCTTTCACGCTGTAAGAACTTGCTGCTGACGAAATGCTGGCAAATATTTTCCTAGACTTTGCACAATGACTTCCTCCAATTAGTTCGGAGCTTTTGAAGTCTTCCTTGTGGCCATTCACGGTAACTGGAATATCACGCATGCTCATAATGGCTGCTAAATACGCTTCCATACTCTCTGGTCCGCCATCATCTGAACTACTATGTCTGGAATGCCGTTTATCTGAATCTGTGCGTTTTCTATTAGAATGACGTTTGTACAATATTGTCTCACCTAAAACAAGAAATGATTGTAACAGGATGCTGTTACGAAGTCTCCCAAACGAAGCTCCCATAATTCCTAATTCCCAGTGTCGCCTGACATTGGACAAAGTCCAGTGAAAATTGGTTTGGTCCAGTAAAGTTAATGCATTAGTGATGCCTGGGGACTAACCCTGTATATCATTCAAATCATCTTGGCATGACAAACCAGAATATATATGGTTTAGGGGTGGGGATCTCGACCATTTAAAAGATACTAGAACATTGGGGGTGGGGGGAACCCCTGGGGACTGACCCTATACATCATTCAAATGTTCGAGAAATGACGAACAGGAATATATATGGTCTAGGGGTGGGGATCTCGACCATTTACAAGATATTAGAACATTGGGGTGGGGGGAACCCAGTGGGGACTGACCGTATACGTCATTCAAATGTTCGAGACATGATGAACAGGAATATATATGGTTTAGGGGTGGGGATCTCGACCATTTACAAGATATTAGAACTTTCTCAAATGGCAGGAGGTCGGGATGACCCCTGGGGACTAACCCTGTATATCATTCAAACCATCTTGGTATGACAAACCAGAATATATATGGTTTAGGGGTGGGGATCTTGACCACTTACAAGATATTAGAACTTTCTCAAATAGCAGGGGGTAAGGGGTGACCCCTGGGGACTAACCCTGTATATCATTCAAAGCATCTTGGTATGACAAACCAGAATATATATGGTTTAGGGGTGGGGATCTTGACCACTTACAAGATATTAGAACTTTATTAAATAGAAGGGGCTTGGGTGACCCCTGGGGACTAACCCTGTATATCATTCAAACCATCTTCACATGACAAACCAGAATATATATGGTTTAGGGGTGGGGATCTTGACCACTTACAAGATATTAGAACTTTCTTAAATGGCAGGGGGTGGGGGTGACCCCTGGGGACTAACCCTGTATTTCATTTCATGTGCTTTATCATGACAAACCAGAATACATATGGTTTAGGGGTGGGGATCTCAACCATTTACAAGATATTAGAACTTTCTCAAATGGCAGGGGGTCGGGATGACCCCTGGGGACTAACCCTGTATTTCATTTGATGTGCTTTATCATGACAAACCAGAATATATATGGTTTAGGGGTGGGGATCTCGACCATTTACAAGATATTAGAACTTTCTTAAATGGCAGGGGGTCGGGATGACCCCTGGGGACTAACCCTGTATATCATTCAAACCATCTTAGCATGACAAACCAGAATATATATGGTTTAGGGGTGGGGATCTCGACCATTTACAAGATATTAGAACTTTCTCAAATGGCAGGGGGTCGGGATGACCCATGGGGACTAACCCTGTATATCATTCAAACCATCTTGGTATGACAAACCAGAATATATATGGTTTAGGGGTGGGGATCTTGACCACTTTAGAACTTTCTTAAATAGCAGGGGGTGGGGGTGACCCCTGGGGACTAACCCTGTATATCATTCAAACCATCTTAGCATGACAAACCAGAATATATATGGTTTAGGGGTGGGGATCTTGACCACTTACAAGATATTAGAACTTTCTTAAATGGCATGGGGTGGGGGTGACCCCTGGGGACTAACCCTGTATTTCATTTCATGTGCTTTATCATGACAAACCAGAATATATATGGTTTAGGGGTGGGGATCTCGACCATTTACAAGATATTAGAACTTTCTCAAATGGCAGGGGGTCGGGATGACCCCTGAGGACTAACCCTGTATATCATTCAAACCATCTTAGCATGACAAACCAGAATATATATGGTTTAGGGGTGGGGATCTCGACCATTTTCAAGATATTAGAACTTTCTCAAATGGCAGGGGGTCGGGATGACCCCTGGGGACTAACCCTGTATATCATTCAAACCATCTTAGCATGACAAACAAGAATATATATGGTTTAGGGGTGGGGATCTTGACCACTTACAAGGTATTATAACTTTCTTAAATGGCAGGGGGTGGGGATGACCCCTGGGGACTAACCCTGTATTTCATTTAATGGGTTTTATCATTTAGAACATTTTCAATTAAAAAGATTGTGTCTATCACAAACGGTTTTCAATTTATAATCATTTGAAAATTTAAAAAAATAAAATCCCATAGGGTTCTATAGTAAAACCCTCTTTTCTTTTTGCCCCTCAAAGTACCCCTTTATAAACCCCATTGCACAAACAAAACCCTAATTGCACCACTAGACATGTTAGTCTAACATATTGTGAAACCCTAAGTTAATCTGACAAGCGGTTTTGGAGAACGGGTGCGGACAAGTTCAAATTTAAAAGCGGCGGAAGAGGAAGAGGAAGAGGAAGAATAATAATAATAATAATAAGAACTGAGCAAAAACAATAAGTCTTCCCAAACTTCGTTTGGGAGACTTAATAATCAAATGGAATAAAAATTCTGATGTTTTAACCTCTAGGTTTTTTTTTTTTTGTTTCGTTGAATTCTCATTGCCGAAATTGCCCACTTTTCGTTTTTCTCTATTCGTTATAAATTTTGCCTATTTTTCTCTATTTTTTACATTGTTTGCCCTTTATTCTGCACATTTTGCCCATTATTCTCTATTCTGTTAACCCCATCCACACCCTCCTAAATGTTGCGTTTTAGGCGAAGCAGCAAATGTCAATTTTGACATCTTTGATCTGACCAAATTGTAAATCGAACCCACACGGTCATGCACTTATCGTGAAGTAACTAGAAAGGAGACTATAATGTATTGGGTGTTAATTATCCAACACACAATCAATAAAATGCTCCGCTGGGGCGCAGGTTGATACGACCGCAGAGGTCGAACCCTGAACAGTTGGGGCAAGTATGGACACAACATTCAAGCTTGATACAGCTCTGAATTTGGATTGTGATTAAATATTTGACACAGCATAGGTTTCTGACACAGAATGAATGTGGTATAAGAAAATTTTAATTTACCTATTCAAACCATATCATTATTATTTGCTTTTATATATAAATCAGAAATAACCAATTTAAAATGGAAAATTTTAAAGAAAAAAAAAGGAAAAAAAGGACCCCCCCCCAAATATTTTGAACCCCCTTATGATTCATCACCCCAAAACTCAATAACAGCCTTCCCTTTTTGTATGGTACCTTGCAGTACAATTTCAGAGAGATTCATACATTATTATTTGCTTTTATATTTAAATCAGAAATAACCAATTTAAAATGGAAAATTTTAAAGAAAAAAAAGGAACCCCCCCAAATTTTTTGAACCCCCTTATGATTCATCACCCCAAAACTCAATAACAGCCTTCCCTTTTTGGTATGGTACCTTGCAGTACAATTTCAGAGAGATCCATACACTTGAACACAAGTTATTGTCTGGAAACTAGAAAAATGCTTGTTTTTTGGCCCCTTTTTGGCCCAAAATTCCTAAACGTTTAAGGCAATTACCATCAAACTCAATCCCAGCTTTCCCTTAGTGATATGGAACCTTGTAGTACAATTTCATGAAGATCCATACACTTACACACAAGTTATTGTCCTGAAACTAGAAAAATGCTGGTTTTTTGCCCCTTTTTGGCCTCTAATTCCTAAAATTTTAAGGCAATTACCCCCAAAATCAATCCCAGCCTTCCCTTAGTAGTATGGTACCTTGCAGTACAATTTCAGAGAGATCCATACACTTGAACACAAGTTATTGTCTGGAATCTAGAAAAATGCTTATTTTTGGCCCCTTATTCCTAAACGTTTTGGGCAATTACCCCCAAACTCAATTCACGCTTTCCCTTTGTGATATGAAACCTTGTAGTACAATTTCAGAAAGATCCATACACTTACAAACAAGTTATTGTCATGAAACTAGAAAAATGCTTGTTTTTTGCCCCTTTTTTTGGCCCCTAATTCCTTAAATTTTGAGGCAATTACCCCCAAAATCAATCCCAGCATTCCCTTTGTGATATGGAACCTTGTGGTACAATGTCAGAGAGATCCATACACTAACACATAAGTTATGTCTGGAAGTTACAAAAATGCCCCTAATTCCTAAAATGTTGGTACCATAACCCCCAAAATCAATCCCAACCTTTCTTTAGTGAAATTGAACCTTATGGTAAAATTTCATAGAGATCCATTCACTTAAACTAAAGTTAGAGTGCGAAAACCAATGTGTCTTCGGACGGCGACGGCGACGACGACGACGACGACGACGACGACGCCAACGTCATACCAATATACGACCGCAAAATTTTTTTGCGGTCGTATAAAAACCCAAGAAAACTTACTATCGACTTGGTTTCTGGTTTCTGAGGTAACAGGCATATTAAAATTTGTAGCTCCTGCAGCGACAATTAAACTGTCAGATCCGCATGTCTACAAAATACAAATTTATTTATATAAGAAAATTAGGTTCCAAGTTTACTGATATGATTGTATTTATCTGTACATCATGCGAAGCATTTAGTTTAAACAATATTTATTCAGATAAATCAACATTAAACCATATTATACAAATGAAATACATAATAAGGATTCGGAAACAAGCAATTTGGTTTTACAAATCCGTCTCCTTTTACAAAAATAATACACTTATTGAACAATACATAAATATAATTACTGGCATGCTCTGTAATAAATATATGAATGTGAAAATGAAAAAGGTGGAAAATACTTAAGTGAAGAGGGAAAAAAAGTAAACATGAATTTTTGTAATGTATACAGTGTGAAATGCTTGGGTTCCTATTGAATGATGAAGCATTAACATCAAGGCTTAAAACGTTTACTTTTAATAATATATTTCTGCACCAAACTAAATAAAAGACTATTTTGCTCATCTGAAAGTTCCGTTGATCCAAAAAGCAAAGTTTTTGTGTCAACTTGGACAGGAAGAACTGAAACAGAATCTAATAGTTAATGTCTTAAATCAGTGTATATGGGACAAGATAACAGGAAGTGAGAATTTGTTTCTACATCACCACAACGACAATTTGGAGAGTCTACTAAATTACGAAGGAATAGGTGAGAATTCAATGAACTTGAATCCATTCTTAAGCGAGCATGAAGAATTTGACCAAAACGAATAATATTTATAAAATATAATAATACGTTGGGCCTTACTATTTTGGGTACGAATTTGTTTTTTGAATAATGATAGAACATTTAGTATGTTTACATTCATGCAAATGTAACAATTACGAAATTGAAGCGTTTCTAAATCACAACTTTTAAAAATCGGGAGGATTTAGAGTTTGACATATTGGGTAAACTATTTTGCCCTTCAGATTTTTTTTATTAATTTTTGTCGTTGGGTTGTTGTGTCGTATACACCAGATATCCTTTTATTAATATGAGAAAATAGTGTGTGCACAGAAAATGTGTAAAGAATAAGACACCAACCATCTTATTAGTATGGGAAGGGTTTAGAATGTTAAATTTTCCAATACCAACTTTGAGTGAACACGACCTAGCAAAGCCAAATCACTTGATTTTTTTTAATGCATTACGAAGGAAAAAAAAGAATTTTTGCGTCTTTGCAAAAACAACATTTTTGGTGAACATAAAGTAAACCCTTGCCAGTTTTTTCGTCTCTCATCGTACCACAACTGAAATTGAAATGGTTGGGGCCTAAAACTGATTAATGCCTTTTCACTATTATTAATCAAAAACGCTTACTGCGGATGCAGGTTGTTGAGAAGTGTGGGCATGTTCCATGCATAACTCTTTGTGGTCTTCCTTTTTGTCATTTCTCACCAATTTATGACACACGTCACAATATGACTGCCAGTTCTTCCTTGGACAAGTACGCTCATGAGTTCCCCATGTTGATCTGTAGGACATGTACGAAAATATTAATAAGACTCCTTGAAGTTTAACATATAACAAGAATGCATTTTCATAAAGATTCGATTGCTTGTGTGAAGATTTGAATGTTTCCTTTGCTATTTCTAGTTTCATTGGCATGTAAGAGTTAACCTTTTTTTGCACTTCGCACTTCATACCACGTGCTATATCGACGTCAGTTTGCTTTGCAATCTTTGACTTAAGCTAGATAAAATAGTATTGTTCTCAATTTGACCATTGAACAATAAACAAACAATTGACCAGACACATTTTGCAACAGTCAACCTATGGTCAAACAGTTAAACTTATTAAATTAAAAGTTACATGATACCATAGTACTGTTAACCCTTCCGAAGCACTAGATATGATAGCTAATCGTGTTATTTGTGCTTTAGTCATCTGTGTGTATTCTTTTCATTTCGATCATGGCCTTGTTTTTTCTTAGATAAGATACAAAAAATAACTTTACCTTGGAACCATCATTCCACATAATGGACATGCCTTCTTCGTCTGACAGTTTTTTAAGTGGGATTCAAGTTTCTTGAAAGGCAATTTTCTCCCACAAAACTCACACTGTGACATTCGAAATGGACATGATGCTGTATGAATTTGTATATTAATTCGTTTATCTCTGGTTTTACATCCCCTTCCAGAATTTGCACAACTGATATTTGCGTGTAAGCATGTTGACCTGTGTTGTAACATTTTGTATCTTGTCATTGTTAAACCACAACCAATGTTTGGGCAAGAGACTTCCGCCAATAAACAAGCGTTCAAGTGAAAAGGCTCTTCTTCACGAAGCATCGTCTTTTTACAAAGCTTGCATTTTGTTTCAGACTTCGCACAATACTTTTCATGTTCACGTAAATCTTTTTTCATCATGGCTTGACCACATTTATTGCAAAGAAATGAAGCAAACAAGCAGGTCTCTGAATGTTTGAAGGCGTCTTTTTCTGTAAGTCGTTGGTCACAGCCAAAATGGTGGTTTGGGCAAAGAATTGAGCGATGTTGACATTTTAACAAGTGTTGTTCTATTCGACATCTTAGGATTTTCTCTCCACATCCAACTGATGGACAAGTTATCCAGGTAAGTTGACACTCCTCGACATGTTTATCGACACACCATTTCGGGAGGAATGTCTGGCAAGCTTTGTTTGGACACTTGATTGGTCTATATCTGCATATTTGTACATGGCTTATAAATCTGGTGAATTCTCTACCACTGCAAGCAAATGAACAATGACCGTACCGGCAGTTTAGAAAGCAGTGTTTTAATACACCTGTTAATCGCCACAGTTGAAATGGATTGATTTTGTGTGTTGACTGATCAGATGCCTTCTCTTTCAATGCCGATTTCTTAACTTTTTCAACAATATTACGTGTCCACGTCAGTGTTTTTATTCCATTCCATCTTATTCGTCTAAACTTTGGTGGTGGTTCTATAATAAAATAAAATAATAATTAATACGAAACGTGATACAAAAGGGTTTAAAATCCTTAACATTTAGAATACATAGTTTCCGTTAGTACTTGCTTGAACATTTTAGATGGAAATCGCTGAGCAAGACTTACCCAAGCAATCACTAAAAACTTAAAACCTACTAAGTTGACTACCCCAGCATTCAATAAAATTTACAACAGGATTCCAGTTCAATCTTTTCAAGAATAATTCAACCATGTACATTTAACTAGCAAAACTTGACTTCCATAGTAAATTGGTCGTCTTTTAATCGATGAAGACCTAAGATTGCAAATGTTGATTTAATTGTTCATAGCCACATAACGTTGATTTAGATAAGAATTGATGGATGAAACCCTATACTAGCTGCAGTAAACAGGATTTTTTTTCATTGAATTGTTGTTAAGCAAAGAAATAAAGCGCTCAAATACCAAGGACTCTTCAAGATCAGAAAATCTAACAAAACAAAACATTAAATAACGAGCTTCAGAAATTGTTTAGTGCTCGTATTGAACGTTGAACGCCTTGTCTTTCTCAAGTAGTGTTTGTATGCGATAATATTTTGTTTTGGTCGGGTTGGACTATGTCTGGCTGGCCAGCAGAGACAGATGGGTACGTATTTAGTGTTATCACCTCCTCCTACAGTTTTCATTCCAAATCCCTGAAACTTCACAGAAAGGTTGCACACTTGTTGATTTTCATCACTTGTTGTTATGGAATTGTTTGAGGATTTTTTCCTATCCCCCAATTTTTGAGAATTGGGACATTTTTTTTTCAGGAAAATTTACAAAAGACATTCCCTATTTCGTGCAATCAGCTCCTTGTAAAGTTTTCAACCCAGATCCTTGAAAATGCACAGATAGAAAATTGTTTCTGCTGCTATGTAATTGTTTGGGGAATTTCCATCATTTTCAAGACTTGCCAACATTTTGCAGGAACATTTAAAACAAAAAAATGTTTTTAATTTTGTTTTCAACCCAAGTCTTTGGAACTTCACACAAAGTTTACAAACGTATTTAATTTGTTCACCTTCTATTATGGAGTTGTTTTTTTTTTATCCATTTTTGCATTTGATATTTTCATTAATGTCACAAAGGTTTATTATAGGCATACCTGTCAATCTCTGAAACTGAAAATGTCAGGTCATAACGCGTACGAACTTTTTCGGTCCAATTTTAGTATTGAGAGTCTTTTTTTATATACGCCGATAACATATACATGTACCACCGAGTTTCCTAAAAATAATTACTTTTGTATTTGTTGAGTATATAAATATTTATCATTAAGTAAATATCTTTCTAATTTAAAAGCAATGCCCTTTTATTGTTTTATTCACACTAGTTTATATGAAAGCCTGTTAGGGTCACAAAAAAAATATTTATCGCGTAATTACGAGATAAATATCTCGTAATTACGAGAAAACTATCGCGTAATTACGAGATAATTATCGCGTAATTACGAGATCATCATCACGTAATTACGAGAAAACTATCGCGTAATTACGAGATAAGAAGTTTTTATCTCGTAATTACGAGATAATTATCGCGTAATTACGAGAAAACTATCGCGTAATTACGAGATAATCATTTTTTTATCTCGTAATTACGAGATAATCATTTTTATACGCCCGTTTACGGGACGTATTATGGTAAACCGTCGTCAACATGTCGGACATTAACTCAAAAACGCTTTAACTAATTTGCATATAACTTTGGTGAATTGTTTATGTCTATTGACGTGAGCTCCCTTTCGTTTTTTATAAATTTTAGATTTTACGTTTCCGAGTTATGGGGTTTTATTCATAAAATAAAATGCTCCGCAGGGCGCAGCTTGATACGACCGCAGAGGTCGAACCCTGAACAGTTGGGGCAAGTATGGACACAACATTCAAGCTTAATACAGCTCTGAATTTGGATTGTGATTAAATATTTGACACAGCATAGGTTTCTGACACAGAATGAATGTGGTCTAAGAACTTAAAAATTTTAAATTGGACATTCACCTATTATGGTCCAATATCCAAAATCTAAATACATGGTTAGATTCAGCATATCAAAGAACCCCAAGAATTCAATTTTTGATGAAATCAAACAAAGTTTAATTTTGGACCCTTTTGACCTCAATGTAGACAAAGTCGATAACGGGGCCTAAAAATCTAAAATCTAAATACATGGTTAGATTCAGCATATCAAAGAACCCCATATATTCAATTTTTGTTGAAATCAAACAAAGTTTAATTTTGGACCCTTTTGACCTCAATGTGGACAAAGTTGATAACAGGGCCCAAAAATCAAAAAATCTAAATACATGGTTAAATTCAGCATATCAAAGAACCCCATATATTCAATTTTTGTTGAAATCAAACAAAGTTTAATTTTGGACCCTTTGGACCTTAATGTAGACCAATTTGAAAACGGAACCAAAAATTAAGAATCTAAATACACGGTTAGATTCGGCATATCAAAGAACCCCAATAATTCAATTTTTGATGAAATCAAACAAAGTTAAATTTTGGACCCTTTGGACCTCAATGTGGACCAATTTAAAAACGGGGCCCAAAATCCAAAAACTTAATACACGGTTAGATTCAGCATATTAAAGAACCCCAAGAATTCAAGAATAAAACCCCATTGAAATTGATCAAGAAATAAGCAATTTATACGAAATATCTTCTTTTGCACAATACTGTGCAATTGAATATTTCTTGCTATTGCGCAATACTGTACAATTGACAATTTCTTGCTATTGCGCAATATTGTGCTATTGGATATTTCTTGCTATTGTGCAATACTGTGCAATTGAAGATTTCTTGCTATTGCGCAATACTGTGCAATTGAAGATTTCTTGCTATTGTGCAATACTGTGCAATTGAAAATTTCTTGCTATTGCACAATACTTATTATATAATAATTTACACATCCTGTTTGGTGTGTATCTCCTATCATATCATTATTATTTGCTTTTAAATATTAATCAGAAATAACCAACTTAAAATGGAAAATTTTAAAAGAAAAAAAAAAGGAAAAAAAGAAAAAAAAAGTAAAAAAAAATCCCCCCCCCAAATTTTTTGAACCCCCTTATGATTCATCACCCCCAAACTCAATCCCAGCCTTCCCTTTGTGGTATGGTACCTTGCAGTACAATTTCAGAGAGATCCATACACTTGAACACAAGTTATTGTCTGGAAACTAGAAAAATGCTTATTTTTGGCCCCTTTTTGGCCCCCAATTCCTAAACGTTTCGGGCAATTACCCCCAAACTCAATTCACGCTTTCCCTTTGTGATATGAAACCTTGTAGTACAATTTCAGAAATATCCAAACACTTACACACAAGTTATTGTCATGAAACTAGAAAAATGCTTGTTTTTTGCCCCTTTTTTGGCCCCTAATTCCTAAAATTTTGAGGCAATTACCCCCAAAATCAACTACAGCCTTTCCTCTGTGATATGGAACCTTGTGGTACAATGTCAGAGAGATCCATACACTTACACACAAGTTATTGTCTGGAAGTTACAAAAATGCTTATTTTTGGCCCCTTTTTGGCCCCTTATTCCTTAACTGTTGGTACCATAACCCCCAAAATCAATCCCAAACCTTCCTTTCGTGGTATTGAACCTTATGGTAAAATTTCATGGAGATCCATTCACTTAAACTAAAGTTAGAGTGCGAAAACCAATGTGTCTTCGGACGACGCCGGACGACGCCAGACGACGACGACGACAACGACGACGACGACGACGACTACGACTACGACGACGACGACGACGACGACTACGACGACGACGACGACGCCAACGTCATACCAATATACGACCAAAAATTTTTTAATTTTTGCGGTCGTATAAAAAAAGGGGGATTTTCCAGTTTTCGGACAAAAAATAAAAAATGCTTTCAGCAGTTCTTATTAAACTTTGGTGAATTGTTTATATCTATTGATATAAGCTCTGTTTAGAATTTTATAAATTTTTCATTTATTATTTCTGAGTTATTGAGTTTTATTCATTAAAAAAAGGGAGATTTTCCAGTTTTCGGACAATAACTCAAAAATGCTGTCAGCAATTCTCATGAAACTTTGGTGAAAAGTTTATATCTATTGATGTAAGCTCCCTTTACATTTTCATAAATTTCTAATATGAAATTGAGAATTAATTGAACGTTATTTGTTTATAGTCTGACAACAGATTTACTAAGTATTGCGCAACAGCACAGTGTATTGCACAACAGCAAGAAATCTTTAATTGAATATAAATTCAATTCATATAACCAGTTTCAAGTTCTTTGACTACATTTATTCAGAAACCTATAATCAATATGTCAAATATTTATTAACAATCCAAATTCAGACCTGTATCAAGCTTGAATATTGTGTCCATTTTTGCCCCAACTGTTCAGGGTTGGACCTCTGCGGGCGTATCCAACTGCGCTCAGCGAAGCAGTTTATCTTATCTTGTAATTACGCGATGATTATCTCGTAATAACGAGATAAAAAAAATGATTATCTCGTAATTACGAGATAGTTTTCTCGTAATAACGAGATAGTTTTTTCGTAATTACGAGATAAAAAACTTCTTATCTCGTAATTACGCGATAGTTTTCTCGTAATTACGCGTTAATTATCTCGTAATTACGCGTTAGTTTTCTCGTAATTACGCGATAATTATCTCGTAATTACGAGTTTAAAAAATGATTATCTCGTAATTACGAGTTAAAAAATGATTATCTTGTAATTACGAATTAAAAAATGATTATCTTGTAATTACAAGATAGTTTTCTCGTAATAATTTTCGTAATTACGAGATAAAAAACTTCTTATCCCGTAATTACGCGATAGTTTTCTCGTAATTACGCGTTAATTATCTCGTAATTACGAGTTTAAAAAATGATTATCTCGTAATTACGAGTTAAAAAATGATTCTCTCGTAATTACGCGATAGTTTTGTCGTAATTACGCGATAATTATCTCGTAATTACGCGATAGTTTTCTCGTAATTACGAGATATTTATCTCGTTATTACGAGATAAATATATATTTTTTTTTGTTACCCTAATAGGCTTTCGTAAGTTTACTTCTTCTTATTAATGAATGTCATAAACCCCAGCTATACATGTAATTAGAAATCAATAGCTCCTATACACAGGAGGAAGATAAATAGAAAGAAGTTAGTGTGTTTCCTTTCAGTGTAATATCTAGAGCATATGGATTTGATTTAAAGCTTTTACATTTAAGTGATAACAAAATTATTCTCTCCACCAGAAATGTAATAAAAGGTTCAAATTGTTTTAAAATGATTTCTCCACGATATTTGATATTTGCAAACGACAAATCTTTTAATCAGGACATAGAATTGTATGTCAAGCTTGACTGGCTTCAACTTTCTGTAGTACAATTAACAAACAATCCTCGAATTGTTACTTTTCAGTCAAATGTAATGGTTTGATAGCTGCCATTGGCACGGTAAAATATCAATTGTTTACCTTTTCAAAGGAAAAACGCCGAGAAAATCGAAAGTATATTTGACTTCTAAATACCGGAAACAATACCGGTCAGAAATACGGGTGAAAACGGGTCATTTTCTGAAATCCCGGGTTGTTGTAGCCACCCGGCGGGTATTTAAAAAAAAAACCCGGGTAAGGGGTGAATTCTCGGGTGTGACACGGAGGATACGGGTCAGTTGACAGGTATGTATTATAGGCCATGCTTTACCCTACGCAGTCATCTTGGTCTTTGGTCGATTTTGTTTTGATATGCGGTATTTGCCTACTTCGTTATATCATGTGGTTGATTTATTATATTATGCAGTTACCTTGTTATATTATTTGGATACATTTTTATGGTATGTGCTTCCATAATTATGAACTGTGGTTTCTTTATTATTTTACGTGCTTTCGTACTTACGTTATTATATTAATATGTTCTTTTGCATATGTATTTTTTTCATATGTATGCTATACCTTTTATTATAACATTATGTAGTTATCGATAGTATTTAAATCTGTACAAACATCTCTATGTGAAGTAGATACGTTGTTGTGTGAAGTACCTATCTTATCATGTTACAACAATTACTTCCCTTTCCTGGTGTACTTAAACTTAACAATCCTTAATGTAAAATGAATAAAAGGAGATGATTTGTATATGTGAAACAAATAGCAACCCAACAACGCAAAGACCAACAGATAGAGTTCATAATAGGAATTTAAGTCAGTGTCAGATTTTAAAATATTATACATTAAAATAACAAATTTGAAAATAACAATATGGAATTGAATAATAAAACTGTCCCTCGTAATTTCTACGCAAATACAAATCCCGTTAAACATGTTAAAAGTGTATCCTTAAGTTTGATTAAACATCCACAGAAATTGATAATTCTCCTGACAATATGATTGAAGATTTTATCGTCGGTCTATGGGAAATGCGAATCGAGAGAACCATTTCTTATGTGGATTAGCGATCTTTTCTAATATGAAATAATTGTAAATATTCTTTTCCATGAGAAAAAAAAATGTTTCCATTTAAGAAACAGTTTTCTCGATTCACACTTTCCATACACAGACCATTCTTTATTGATAATCAGATATTCTTGCGACCTCGATAGAAAACGAAAATATACGTGAATCAATCTCAACAATATAAACTAGTAAGTCTTGTGATATCAGTAACAAACTAGAATATGTGTCATCGCATTTCTTGTTTAGTGAACCGCGAAATCTGGATTAAACCCCAAGTGGGCATATATCATTTTTTTCAAATCACATCATCCCAACCCGCCCTATCACATTCCTTGTTCAGTGAACTGGGGAAACTGGGTTAAACCCCAAGTTGTCATACATGTATTTCTTTTTTTTTTTTAACCTTATTATCATAAACATGTGTTTTAAGTTACAAGTTGATGTGATCACAACTTCGATGAAAACTACTTTATTAAAATAAAAACATAATCTCCCTTTAAACCAAACCGTTAACCTGGCACGGGACACACGACGAGAAAGGATATCTAAAGCGCAATCACTATTGTAGACGGGGCATACAAATATAAATAAAAAGATTGTGATATTTTCAAACATAGTGTATAAGAAATATTACCTAGCATGGCTTTCGTCAGTCGAGCAATGGCTTGCGTCTGTAGTATCATATGACTTGATCTGGTAGGTGCGTATTTCCAGACATGGATACAGTTTAAAACTTTCAGATATCTTGGTATTTTACATGGCTGAAGGATGATTGGCAGCACTCGATGAATTCCTTTGGTTTTCATGTACTTCCAAATAGCAAGATTGGCCATAAACATACATAACTCATCAGACAGAAAATTCTTTGTGATAAAAAGCATGGTAATCTTGGACTGTTCCATTCCTTTTTCGATCAGACCGCGCATGATTGGTTGACCTGGTATTCCATCTCGATCAGGGTTGTAGATCAAACAATTGCTATTCTCAAAGGGCTGTAACAAACCGGTTACCAATTCACCATCATCTTCACTATAACTGGCAAAGACATGGTATTCTTTGTCTTGAAGGTTAAGGAAGTTTTTCCATTTACTTTTCATGGTGTCTGTGTTTTTTTTTTTCTAAAATTGTCATTTAACATTTAAACAAGTACGGAAATACAGAAATATAAGTGTATTATTATAAGGCATTTGAGGAAGAAATTGTGTACTCTTAAAAAGTTTTTAACGTTTTTTGTACAATAAATCTACTAGTTAGGTGGGTTTTTTCTTGGGAAATTTAGGGACTTTTAAGAATACAATGTTTAAAAAATATTTGTCTAAATCTTAAATTATTATTTGATTCTTATTTTTGAGACCTTTTGATTATTATGTTGCGATTTATTTAGAAATAACTTTATATAATTTACTGTTCTGTTTAATTTGTGTTCCAGATAAACAGGGGTATCATATACAGAGTCCTGTTTATGAATCTTAGATCTCTATCAGAAAATCATTTTGCTTTCATTGAAGGGGTATTTGCATTATTCGTTCGAATTCGCAGAACGCAGTGTGTTTTCAGACTGAAAAGCGAAGAACATTTGGTCTGCATGTTCATTCATCCTTCCAGTAGATAATCAATAAAGTCGGTGCAGAGCAAATTGGGACAGTAAGCAGATGCATAACAATGATGTTTATATGTTAAGTGGACGCTATTTTTGTTTAGATTTTTATCAAACAATTCGTGTTGAAGCTATACTGAATAATAATGATAATTAGCCTAAATTGGGAAAATTTATATTACAGATTACATATTTCAGATGACAGCATGAAAATTAATGCATCGAAAAAAGGTGCACTGCCCATATTTCGTTGCACTCAAATGTATGCTTCATGGTGTGTATTTTAACCGCCCAGAACAAATTTATTTTAAATTTAAAACCGAAACCACAGAAAATAGTTGGAATGGATAGTCAATGCATAGATGTATAAACCCATCTATGGTCAATGTTAATTTTAATTTGAGCTGTTCAGTTGTGTTAATGACACGAAATTCTAGATAATGAGATTATATAATATTTCATATTCTGTAATTAAATCAGATACACAAACGACACCACTGCTTTTAACCCACACAAAATAAAGATACAAACTTCTACCTGTGTTATACTTTCTGATCGTTTGTTGTTTATCAACATCATACACATGTATTATGTGTATATGTATATATAACCGAAAATAAATTATTCTATATTTATAATTTAGTCGATCTTGCAAATATTTAACAAAAAAATGTGTTAAAAAAGAAAATATGTTGATATACTTACATACATCGTTTCATCCGAGGTCGTTTTTAGATAAAGTAATGAAAATCTGGATAAACCGTGATACCCTTACTTCCTAGTCAAAATAGAGTTATCCTTCCTGATACGATGACGAGAAATTTATCATTTCGTAATATTTGATAAGCTCACACGCTGTACATTTATAAATGATGGTCATACAAATCTTTTGTCTATCTTTTTATCATTTATAGTGTTTTAACATCCCTTTACTTTGTTTCCTTTGTTTTCAACTGTACAATATCCTTTGATTGCAGTGAAAAGGCGGAGCTATTTTACGTCACAAATATACATATCCAACCATATGATATAAGAGTAGCAGAGGTATATTTTTGGTCCTTGTTGGATATCAAATCTTGAGGAAGTTAAATAATGTAAAATTATTTTTTTCCAGAATAATATATTTTGAAATACCAAGAACAGAACGTTTCAAAGTTGCATGTTGCATATGCATATACATGATCTGAACATATTTTAGATATGCGCATCTGGTGCAGTAAAATTGGTACTGCACTGTTATTACTACAACTGGTATATACCTCTGTTAGACCTCGAGAGTTTCACCAGCCAGTACTTCAGTACTTGCTTGAAAATACGGATATTGTATTATTAGAATTTGCTGTTAACAAACTTTTGAAATTATTTTAGATCAAGGAATATATCTCTCCCATGCAAATACAAAGCTCTGGTTCCTTGTATTGCTTTAGCTATACTTTTTTCCTTTTTGGTTTATCAGCTCTTCATTTTTTTATAAGTTTTGGATTTTCAAATATTTTGGCATCGGGCGTGACTGAAGCGACATGTGTTATCGAAATGCGCATTTTGTGCAGTAAAATTTGCACCGTTAATGTTATTAAATCATGTACAGCTATGTTGTGCAAGTTGTCTGCATCAATAAACAGTGGCATTTATGATTCTAAGCAACATAATTTTGTCCCTTTTGTACTTTCCTCAAACAAGGAAAGAACCATGCACTTGAGGATATTGCAAATTTAAATTTACTCTCCTAGTCAATGTAAAAACTCCGTTTTTATCGGTTACGGAAGCTGGCGTCCCTGGAGAGAACTAACAACCTTTTAGCAGGAAAAACTAGTTAATTAAGGTCGGAGTCGAACGCTCCTGCCACGAGCTTGGTTCCAACTCACAGCACACAGTGTTGATCATGACTGAAGATCCCCCCCACCCCCACCCCCATAAATTGAAGATACGGTAAAACTTTAACATTTACAATATATATAAATATATAAATGGAAAATGTAGTTTGTGCTGTATTTAGACCCCTCTACCAAGAAAATTTTTTGCATGCACACGTATAAAAATTGCGGTTTTTATCCAACGCAATCATAGGTTTGAACGTTGTTTTCAATTTAGACTTGGTTGTAAATATATAAATGTATATAGATATAAGAAGATTTGGTATGAGTGCCAATGAGACAACTCTCCATCCAAGTCAAAATTTATAAAAGTAAACCATTATAGGTCAAAGTACGGTCTTCAACACGGAGCCTTGGCTCACACCGAACAGCAAGCTATAGTAGTTTACTAACTTTGATACATGTAGCTAGAAGTCGCCCCTATATTCCGAAAACGTATTGATCCAGCACCACATTAATACACCTTATCGCTATTTGTCCGCCATTACTGGACATCACACAAGTTCCCGTAAAATTTTGACGTCATAATAGAAAATGTCTGACGCCACAATGGAAAAGTGATTGTTGTATGACGTCAAAAGGTCGAGCGGGATAGATTCTAGGGTCAAGCGGGAATAGCGATAAGGTGTATTAGACACTCCATTTGTCCGACACTACAATAGCCCATTGTCTGACTCTCGTTGAAATAAATGATCCTTGATATATAATACATGTATCAGTTTCAAATGGAAGAAATTTTCTGGAATATTATTTCTTCTGGAAGAAATATTACACAGTCTATTTATTCATTGCAAGAATGGTGTTTAAATCTTGAACACCATTCCAAACACATCTTTTGTGCACTTCTTTTACACGTTTTGATCTAAACATGGCCCAATTCTAAACATTTGTAGATGGACTATGTGTTTAGGATTGTGTTTAAGGCCGTGTTTAGCTTAGAAATTAGTGTTTTATTCTTAAACACTTTAATTCTAAAACTTATTTAAAAGTATTTATATTCAAGACATGTGAACATTTAATGTGCTTACTGAGAAATGTGTTTAGATATTAAACGCAATTTTAAACACGTTTAGAACTAAACATGTAATGCAAGTGTTTATTTTCTAAGCACGATTATTAAAGTGTAGTCTCCTATGTATTTCTTTCAGTGTAAGGATTACAATCATGACGTTGCAAGGCTATAAAACGCAAAATTATTTTGGTATGATTTAATTTTATTAAAAACCAACCAAAATTAAGTATAAATTGTTCAATTCTGTTTCTCCGCCTCTTGAAAATCAAACAAAAATTATTCTACAATTTTACAATCTCCTTATTTCACGATGAAATGAAATCACTTTTCCTTTTCCTGTTATGATTTGTTCTGCTCATGAATTTGAATCCCTCTTTGGGCATCTGACATCCTAAACTTTGAGTGAAATAAGAAAACCAAGTTGAAATAAATGGTAAAATTTACAATCACAACTTAAAGACATGACACAGGGGACATGTCATTTCAAATGTCTCCAAATCAACGAAGATGTAAATAGGTATTAGGAACCCAATTTTAATGTACAAAATATATAAATGATAGGATAGTACATGTATGTGGTAAAAAGTAAAATTTCAGCAAGGATATTAAAATTATTGCTAGTGTAAACGAAATGTTGATATGATGGTCCAGAGCAAAATTTTAAAGACAAAAAGCTTAGCTGAATTTTTTTTGGGACGGTACACGAATCAATGTCAGATTTCAAACAGAACAACATTAGGGGTTGCAAATGCTGTAACAAAAAGTATGCGACCGAGAGCCAAATTTTAATACTGCATGAGGCCACGATCAAAATTTTTGTCACCACCTAATTTAAGTAGCTAAGCTCACAAAAATTATTGGACGGTTTGTCGTAAGTTGTTTTCTTTCGCACACAATATAATTAAATTTGTATTTAAGGAATGACTGTAATATTTTTTCTGTCTATGAAGAAATAACGTCAAAAATGTGGTGCACACTGAATAACCCGCGTAGATGTTATTTCGAAAAAAAAACATTGACAGTCATTCCTTATAACTTTATTCTAAATTCCATTTTTAAGGAGTAAATCATGAAAAAACTTTGATGACGTCACGATCACATGACAAAATTATGGTTATGAGATCTGATATACAAAAAACTTTCAGCCAATTAGAAGACGACGGTCGTGTTACATCCAAAATTAAATTATATTGCAATATATAAAAAACAATATTGTGAAACAGTACTGGTGGTTGGTTATACATTGTATATGTTTTATAATATATGTTATTATATATGACAAAAATAAAGTGTCTTTACTTAAAATGCTAGCTAGATCATCATGTTATTGTGTAAACAGAGTAAACTATCAAGCAAAATGTCTGGCATTACATGAATGGAGTTGCTATTAATATTAAAACATGGTATAGCAGTCCTATTTGGGTTCAAATTTAATACTTTCCATAAATGATATCAAAAAAACAAATCTTAATATGGTATTCTGTTGTGAAAACATACAAAAAAAAGGTATATTAAAAAATAATTACGATCAAAATACTGCCATACTATAGATATTACTTCTTCTATTTCAGTAAAATGGGTTGTAACACAGTACATGATGTATAGTGGCAAGTAGATAGTATACTTGCAGATCAGCTGGTTTTTTTTTCTGTCGTAAATGATGATAGTTTTACTTACCATGCCGTCAAATTAAATTTTGATTTTATTATATACGTCTAAATATGTGACAACTTTACGACATACGTTCTTCATCGGTTAACTTGTAACTATAACCTGTGGTTATCCAAGGCTAACACCATAATTTTAATGTACATCTCAAATTTATCCCAACAATCAATTATGTTAAATCTGCATATTTGCATTAGGAAATTTTTGTTCTTCCCGAATCGGGAGTCGAACAACTGCATCTTATACATCGTGGCAACACCGCCTGCACTGTGTCCAGCGCCCTAGATAACTCTACCAACTAAATTATATTAACATTTATTTAGCTTTCGTTAGTCGAGTAATGCCATTCCTCGTCGTCTTTATATAGAGTTGGAACATAGTACATGATGTATGAGGGTATGGATGGGGGGGGGGGGGGGGGGTGTCTTTCATTTCTGTATTCTTTAATTTTTTCGCTCATATTCTTTATCTTTAAAAATAATGGCTATTATGTAATTACTTGATAACTTTATCCTGGACATTGTTCTTTTCTGTAATCAGTATATTTTTATCCAATTCTTTAATTTTTCAGTTATTCTTTATATTTTAGCACCCCATTGTTCTCTTTTCTTTATTTTTTGTCCATTTTTCTCTTCTTTATTTTTGTTTGCCCATTATTCTCTATTCTGTGAACCGCATCCATACCCTCATGTATAGTGGAATATATTGTTATGAACTCATTCACACGTAGTCAATATATTCCTTACCAAAAACGCATAAAACATTGAAGAGTTCTATTTGGAACAGAGAAGATTTAATATTGCCAATTTTCCCGCTGCTCAGTTCAAGGAATATAAATTCCATCGTAATTCATTCTTTTTCGAACATTGATACACCCATAGACAGTATATAAATAACGCATAGCTGAGAGGGTGATAGAGCAGATTGTTATATACCCGCGGTTGATAATATTTTCTCAGGGTAACAATCTGCTCTATCACCCTCTCAGCTATGTGTTATTTAATTTATTATACTGAATGTCCTATCATTATTGTCTTTTACAGATGAATTTTATTTAAAAGTATTTTCTTTGGCGTCACGTACATAACAACGTTATTGGTATTAGAAAAATCAACAGAATTGAAGCAAGATGTTTTATTGTTTTATTTTGACAGTTAAATAATAGAATCTGAGCCAAAACGTAGAACTTAAGCATTGTCTTTATTAACTTGATGTAAATTCAATTCATTGTCCTTTAACTTATCGATTTTTGATTGGTCTGGACAAGAGGGTGACATTCAAAAAAATTGTCACCCGCTCAGCCATGTGATAGAGTAAATTAACACCCTCGTATCAGCCAATCTAAATATGGCATTTTAACGTGAAGTATAATAATACAATTTATTAAACTTAATGTCAAAATGCCAGATTTTGATTGGTTAATACGAGGGAGACAATTT